ATGAGGGCGGATCGCAGAAATCCCATCGTACATGATGTGATGAATTGGTCGCCGTACAGCGAGAAGATCCAGGCTCTTGTGCAGTCCTGTGCCGCCAATCAGGTTGTTATCCAATTTTGGCCTACATGAACAGTGGCGAAAAGGCAATACCGACAATAATAATACATGAACTTTTTTGTGTCTGGTTCACGTTTCATTGCATCAAACGAAATTACCACTCAAATATTCATATATTCCGTTTCATTCCTCAAGCGGTTGCATTTTCGTTACTAGTCTGACTCACATCGGACTTTTCGATGTGCATTAGTCCTTACCCGATACCCTGTTATTTGGCAGACAATGAAGTTGTACATTTTGAAATGTGTCCTTAAACAAACAAGAAATGGGTCAATATAAAAGGGTATTGGGTAGTCGACTCAAGCTTTTAGTTTATATTTATCATTTAATTTACTTAAGTTTTATCCTTATTTCATGTTTACACAAAAGCGTCTTGAGACATTGGACAAAATTGTAGATCTGCTATAATTTATTTCGCACTACCGCACACAAACATCTGGTCTTAAATATGCCTTGAAAAATGTCCATCCTTAAACGTTTATAGCTTTATTGTCTTTAAAAGATCTGCACGTTGCACCAAAGAAATATGCATTTTTTCTTATGAAATAAATTTTAATTTTACCCTTTTATTTTGATTTTAAAATATTGAAATGTTTATTTATGGGAAAAGCTTACTATTACCAACTAGGAAACTTAATCTAATGAGAAATTTTACTTACTTTTCGACTGTACTCGTACTAGTACTCGTAATTTTTGTATGTGGGTTTTGGTTGCAATACCGTAAACTTGAATGGCGTCGAATGGGCCAGGAGCTAATATGCACTTGAATAAACTGATCTGAACTGAACCACAGCACTTAAAGCTTATGGTAAAAGTTAAATTAAAACGTAAGCTGATAAATGGGCAGTTTCTGTGGCAGGAGCTGATCGAAAACACTTCTCAATCTGGATCCACGGAGGGATGAAGTTTTCGCCGCTGCTTAAATTTTCGCGTAATGTTCCTCTGATTTTCCACAGCCACCACAAAGGCCAAGTTTCTAATATGGCAGTCGAGCATCTGGGGCAAACTTTTTCTGGACCCAAACTTCTTCTTTGTAGCTAATTGTTTGCGCATTCCGAAAGTTCTGCTTTGAATCAATTGTATTTCCCTTTCACTTCCTTTGCTTTGCCCAATTTTTTTGGCCCGAAGTTTGTGGGCCACGACGAGTTTTGGTCAGCTGCAGGAGAAGCAAAAGAGCGATGGGGGGTTTGATCTGGTCAAAAGGCTCACAAGTCGTATGCAAATGTCAGAAACAAAGGACTGTCAATGCGGGGTCTTGATTTGCTCTGTGTGACTAACGAACTCAACAAAGAACCAAACACCGCGCCCACATGCAAGCTGAAGTCGTTGGAAAAGGAGAGTTAGCCTCAATTTAAAAGTTTTAAAGTTCTTAAAAAAGAAGAGTTCTTAAACATGCTTTGGATTCTGTTACATATCTTGCAAGAGCTGGTGCATTTTTTCAAATCGATTGGCTGGGTCTGGTACGATTGGACTCTCTAATAGTACATTCTAATAGTCCGCACAGTAAGAATCGGCCCTGAAAAGTATGCTATGTGCACTCAACTTGGGTGTCCAGTGTGGCACAGAGAACTGAGTGGCTGCAGCGCGACGTCGCCACTTGATTATCATGCATATTCATTCATGGCTTGGCAGCTTGAGCTGCTCTTTTTGCACATGTGGCAAGCTGCCTGTGGGAGGTGGCACATGAATTACGTAAGAGGACACAGCTAAATTAGTCTGGCGAGGAAGGCGGACCGAGTGGTGGCAGGAACGCGGTAAGTGGAGATCAACGAGAGAGAAATGGCAACTGATTTGAAATCGCCCACTCGACATTGTACTGGCCCCAAACACATTGTACTTCTTCAGGCATATCTATTCCATGCTCGATTCTGGGTTCGATAAACATTCCTGAAGTGCCTTTGCCTGGCTCCTCGTATTTGAAACATTGCGTTCTCTTGTTTGCGTTGTTAAATTTTTTATTGCCAACGAAATATTTATGTGCAGGCGAAATTAAGGAACGCAGAGCGAAAAGGAAAAAAAGAAAAGAAAATTGGGCCCCGAAGTACGAAGGGACCCCTATTCGTTTGTTTTGTTTTGTTTGATTTATGCGTAAACTTTTCTGCTGCCGCTTTTATGTACGAATTGTGTTTCCTTAGCCAACGGTTCACACACTCAAAAAAAGGAACAAAAACGGTAAAAAACATCCATGTGTACCACCATTCATTCCACCCAGGCATTGCAATGCGTTGGCAATTTTGAAAAGGATACTGAAAAGCTGCAGGACGAGAGTTCCGCATCCTGCAAAGTCATATTTACTTTTTCGTGCCTTGTCCACTTTAATTGATTGCGTGGGGCGTTGTTATCCATTTACTGTGGTGGGGTCTGTGGCCATGCGGTTACTGCAGTCCATGGACACCACCCACACCCCTCTCCCAGGAGCAAGCATCCACCTCCCCATTTTCGCAGCCAACAATTTAAATTAAACAATAAAACGCGGGCGTACCGTTTGCGGTTTGTGTCCTCCCTTTGGAAAAGTGCTTAAATGTTCGGTCATAATGGTTGCTGACGGAATGTGGCTGCAATGTGGAATGTTATTTCATTTAAGAAATATGATTTGTTTCCCAAACATAATGGTAACGTGAATACTTCAGGGCTCCTTGGCAATCTTTCAGCCCGAGACCAATGGTTTGGGTTGACTAGCCAGTGGAAAGATTCTTCGGGAAGAGTTGAGTCTGTGGCTTAAATTTTAAACCTTCCCACCGAAGACAAACTTGCAAGCATTGAATAAGTTATGCAGAGCAACGCATTTGTCGCCTGGACGGATGGCAAAATGTTAGCAATGTGGGGAAAACTGGGAAAATGGGTAAATGGGTAAATTAGAGAGCCAGACGGGGGTGGAAAGCTGTCTTCATTTATTTCATGTCAGAAACTTTGCACGCGACTGCAGAGCAGTGAAACAGCCAGAGAATGGATGTTAGGGAATAGAGACCGAGATGAAACACTGAGAAAAATGGCCCCAAAGTAAGCTACCAGCTAGAATATCTGTGCTCGTTACGTTGTCATCAACTTGAAACGAATCCACTTTCGAGTTAAAAGATGTCAAATATTATTGCAACACCTTATTACAGCCTTTTTCCACTGCGTCTGATTTTCAACCATCGCCTTGTTTCGGGAAGTAAGCAAATTGGAACGACACCTAGGACAATAAACCGCTGACGCGGAACGGACTAATGGGATGATGCTCTCCGCTCTTCGCTTTGCATGCAGATGGCTTTGCTGGGCTTTTCCAGTTGCATAGCAGTTTTCCCAGTTTCCCCGCCATTGGTCCCTCCATGGCCCAACCATGCATTTTAATGGACAAGTTACTGGTTAATTATAATTAAAAGTGTGCATGTATGCAATGCGAAGAATTTGGGGAAAGGGACTTTAATTCAAATGTTTGTCTACTGGAAGTGTCCTGTGTGCTGTCAAGTGTCCTTGGCCACCTGGGGTGTCCTTGTGCTCGCTCGCCTGGGCACTTCCTTTTCGGCCATTTTTATTGCGGTTTTCACCCGCATGTGACCACATCCTTCCCGGCCATTTCTGCTTCCTGGGAATGGAAAAAATATATGCTAAAAACCTGCCCACGCACAGCGCCAGTATAGCCATCGAAATGGAATTTTAAAGCGAATGCGAGAAGCACAAAATGCCTCCAAAGAGGACTCCCCCGGCTGTCCTGTTGATGTCCTTCTGGCCACAGTGATAATCGGATTTCCACCCTTTTCCCAACCCGCCCATTAAGCGCCTTGTCCGCTTTTCCTCTGTGCCCACGAAGCTGGTGGACTTATTTACATTTTCCTTAAACGCCACCACTTAATTTAAGAAATGCATTTTTCCGATGCATTTCTCCGATCTGTATTGCTCATATATTGACAAAACCATACCAAGTAATTTCTGCAAATACTGATATCAATGCGTTTAAAAGCTATCTGGAAACAGCTTTCAGCCTGGATATCTCGCGAGCTTAATGCAAAAACGACATATTTTCTAGTATAAATTTATTAAAATAATTCGGTATTATTATGTACTATTACTATTTCTATGATTTATTTAAATAATTATCATGACAAAGAAATGCAAAATTAGAGGGTTTTACTTGGGGGCAATCGAGTACAAATATGTAATATATGTAGATTGAAAGTCCATAAGCTTCTGAATTGAAGGTCATATTTTGTCAAATTTACAATATATGAGCATACGTATGCACACATACAGTGATCGACTGTCGCTGTATGCGTACAAGAGAGCTGCTATCTCTAGAGTGCTCTCTCTCTGGCTCTTGAACAAAATTCGAGAGAGCCAGCTTTAGTTTTTGAAATGGTTTTGTAAATCGCGTGAAAAAAAGTTTGGAAAATTCCGCACGTACAGTCAGATATTTTCGTTTCATATTTACGCTTTTCCGGACCGCTGACTGCAACGCATGCCATTCTTGTTTGCTTCACCCTTTGCCATCAAAAAGTGACATGAATGTGTGCCAATCAAATGGATTATTAGTCTGATTATTCCATTTAGGGTGTTGCATTTGAAATGCACTGCTATAATCACCCGCATCAAATACACATTGAGGTTACAACTCTAAGGAAAGCTTGTGTTCTATGGGTGATTTACAATTTCAACACTGAATTATATGAACATATTTCTCGACATTATTCTGATTAATTGCCTCCAAGGTATATAATTGTTCGAGTTTGGTATTGTAAAAGGGTGCGATATTCTCAGATTAATGTACTACAATTTTGTTTCTGTGTGACGTCGGTCACGTTGGCTCTATGCAGCTGACATATGCAAACGTGTCCAATATGCAAATTGCTTTCAATATTAATTGCTTAATTAACATGTGGCCCGCCTGCTTCTCTATTTTTCAGATACCAATCGATTTGGGATTTGCATATCCTTTATACCGAAAGCGCTCACCACGAGAGGAGAAGGTTCATTACAGGAGAAGCAGGAGGACTCTTTTCCGTCCCTGAATCCCCTGAAGCGGGAGGAAGGCCGCCACGTTGGAAGGAAAACGGCTTTTCACGGCAGTTAATAAATTTTTAACTGGTTCAACAATTGCCCGCGAGTTTCGCCAACTAATGGTGAGTGAAGTTAAGATCTAAGATCTAAAATAACTACTGTCTTATTCAGCAAACTTAAATGCTGGAAATATTTTCATAATCAATTTAGAAAGTCACCAATATTCAAATTCCCTTAAAAAGAAAATTGGTAACGCAAAGTACAATTAAATTTGAATAATTAATAATCTGTTTGTGGGGCAAATTTCTTTCATTTCTTGTGTGCAAGCAGCAATAATGGGTTTAAATTATTTATGTAGTGTTCTGTGTCCACCTGGCATTTGTAGACACACTCGATTAGAGATTAACTAAAGCGAACATACGAACATGCGAACATATTTGGGGCGCCAAATTTATTGTTTCTTCTTTTAGTTCCTCTTAATCCGTTTGCTTAAAGCTGACAAACAGTTTGCTACTTTTTTTCAAAATTTTAATAATATATTCGTATTTATATTTAATAAAAGTTTATATGTAAAGTTCAGTTGTAAACGGTAGCTAATTCGAGCGGCGATTTTAACTAACGAATATTAAAATAACTTTATAAAAAAAAGAATAATCATTTTTTTTTTTTTTAATTTTTAAATAATATTTTATCAGATCATATTATAACGAAATTGACCAAAACAATAATCAAATTCATTTCTTGAATCAAAATTGATTTCGGACCGAAATCGAAAATCGACTTCTAGCACAACTTACGCACATATGCAGACTTTTTTGCTTACTGTTTTCACTCACACAAGCAAGTGAATTCTATTTTTAGATTATTATACTCTCAATTTTATGCAAGCGGGGAGAGAGCAATTATTGCCGCCACCAAAAAAGTGGCTGCATAGGTCAAAAGCAATGTATGGCCGTTACGCATCTTATTATTCTAGTGTCTTTGCTTATACAGTGGGGAGCAAAAGTGAAGAGGGTCTGCTGAATTTTTGTGTACTAGTTGTTGAAATAGGGTCGTGATAATGGGAAAGTGGTCGTTGCAATGGAGGTCGTCTAGTATTTCTCACTTGGCGTGAGGGGCTAGATTGTAGAGCAGACTTTTCGGTTTTATCTTTGGCCTTAAGGGTCTTTTTGATTTTCGAAAATTTTAGAAATTTCATATCTTTAAAACTGGACGTGGGCAAAAAAAACTAATTGGTGGGCAAACATGGGCAAACGATTCCAGCTTTCAAATTTCAAAAATTCCATTTTTACCGAACTGGTAAAGAAGCTGAGGTTCTCTGAGGTTGTAATTCTAGTGTCTTTGCTCTCATTTTGTGGGCTTGAAACTTTTCTAGACGAGAAACGCGGCGGTGAGTGGCGATGAACCCGACGAGGAGCAGGCGTCTGCGGCGGTCGCTGCAGGTGAGGATCAGGAGACTGAGAACCAGGTAATGCAGGACAGCGAGCAACCAGGAGGCGGGGGCCACCACCTGACCAGCGAACAGCAACCATCGACAGAGCAGGGTCGTCAGAGGCCGCGAAAAAAAGTGTCGGAGAAACAACCACAACGAAGTACTGCCAATCCGCATCCAGAGCAGGCGGATGCGGACACAGATTCCAGCTCCTGCGAGGGCATCAAAGTGGGTCAGCGGAGGAGCACGCGGGTGAGCTACGCTCAGAGAAATCTTCATGGGCAAGATGTGGACGACTATGACTATGATGAAGAGGGACAGGAAGATGGCGAGGAGGAGGAGGAGGAATCCTACGACGACTACGAACAGTTCTCGATGCCGGAAGGACGTCGACCTTCTGCCCGAACCGCCTTGAGCGTCCGCAGCAGACGAAAGACGAAAACCCGTCAGATTTCCTATGCCTCCTCGGACTTGGAGTTGGGAATCGGCGACGGAGCCAACCTAATCGACGGCGAGAGTCTGGATAAACGCCGCTGCATCTCCAAGGGACAAATGCGGGAATTCCGGGAGGCCTTTCGGCTCTTCGACAAGGATGGCGATGGCTGCATAACCAAGGAGGAGCTGGGCACAGTGATGCGATCACTGGGACAGTTTGCCCGAGTGGAAGAGCTGCAGGAGATGTTGCAGGAGATCGACGTGGACGGTAAGTGCTCGTTAGGAGTTGAGTTCGAGGAACTTTTGGCTTATTAACCTTCTATTGTTTTGTTTTTGCCCTAATCCACTTTCCGCGACGCCTTTCAGGGGATGGCAATGTCAGTTTCGAGGAGTTCGTGGATATCCTGTCCAACATGACGTACGAAGACAAGTCAGGCCTATCCTCCGCCGATCAGGAGGAGCGGGAACTACGCGACGCCTTCCGCGTCTTCGATAAGCACAACCGGGGATACATTACAGCCTCGGATTTGCGAGCCGTGCTGCAGTGTCTGGGGGAGGATCTAGACGAGGAGGACAGTAAGTGGCCATTACATCATTACTTGAGCATTGTTCCATAATTCCATGCGTATGATAACACATCTAGTTGAGGACATGATCAAGGAGGTGGACGTGGACGGCGATGGGCGCATCGACTTTTACGAGTTCGTTCACGCATTGGGAGAACCGGAGGACTCGCAGGAAAACGACGATGAGGAGGAGAATACCACATCGCCGCTGCCCACACCAAAATCGGCAATTTCCCTAAGCTACGACTAAGGCTAACTGACTTTGCTCCATGTCTGTTTGTCCACGCTGATTGTGAAGAGAGGGGAATCCAAAGTTTAAATAATATATTAACTTATTTGCCAACTTGCAATAATATGAACCGACAAGCATGTTCATCAATAATCGAACGTCAAGGACTCGAAAGGTGTCGTTTATTTCTTATCGACTTTTTCCAACTACTAAGCCATAGTTAATCGAGAAGGCATCGATTGACCAGTATTAGGCAAACAAATTAAATAGAACTTATCAAATTAAAACTTTTAATTGAATGAACGCACAGCTTATCAAATTAAAAAGTTATTAAATATATAAATATATACATATTTATATATATATATAGAGCTATTGAATAATCGAATACAACAAATTAACCGATAAACGATTTAATTTACATCGATCTTTGAGGGAATCTAACTCCAATTTTAAATCGCTGTCTTTACCTTTTAACCTAACTCCAATTTAAAATCAAAATCAAAACTAATCTTAGAGTGTAATCGATAAATATAACTTACCATATCTATTATATCCGTGGGCTTATCCAACTTAGAAGCACAAATACATATATTTCAAGACATATCATTGAAGACGCCTCTGTAAATGTGTTTTTTAAATCCAACTGAACCGAACCCATCCTTATAAATATACACCCGTAAGTTCCTTTAGCTCTCCATTGTGTTTCCTTGTGTTCTCCTAGATGCTAATCTAAAATGAATAAATTTATTTAGTAAGTATTTGCTCAATTACGAATGCTGTCGTAATGAAAACGTAACATAACAATATATTACCAAGCTTATGCTCATTTTCTAAGTATTAAACGGACAATTTACTGAAATTTAAAATTTGCCATTTTAATCCAAATTTTGAATCGAAATCCCTAAAAATAAATAAAATAAATTTCAAATATTCCTGCAAATATCTCTTACTGGGAGGGGCATTATTACACGCTGCTTTCATCTACTCGTATGTAGTACCACACTTCTGTTGACAATCCTGATTGCCTGGCAATCAACGAGCAGAAGTATTGGAAGGGACAGGGACCTCGAATCTCGACCCTTGGGAGTGACTGGACACAACCGAACAGATTGCGGTCCAGCTGCGGTTCCTCTCCGGCACACCCCACTCCAGCATCCCTTTGCCAGGACTCCTCTGCTGTCAACAAAATCAGTTGTGGCACACTAAAAAAATGGAATAGTATGCGGAAATAGCTGTGGAAACTGCATTTATATATATGGTTTAGCAATCACTAATTTTGTATGCTACGTTCCCAAGTTAACAAGCCTCATAAGGTATGCGTAAAATATGATGGTTTTTTCACTGTGTATTTGGAAAAGCTACGTAGACAAAAGTTACGTTAATGGTCAAGTGGTCCAGTGGTCAAGTGCTCAAGTGCCTGGCCAGCAAAATTATGATGCCATCCCTGAGGACTTCTCCCCGCCCGACTCGCGCACACATGTTAACATCCACTTCGCTCACACACGGGCTTGCTGTGCGTATACGCAATGTTTGGGTTGGGGCTTTGTCACGGCCTCAAATGGACCGGAATAGCCCATGATGCCGTGATGAGTGGCTTGGAGTTCAGTGGTTGAGGGCAGCATAAAAGGAGAGGACCCTATGCTAATGCTGCGGACACTAGAACATTAGAAGGGCTTTTGGCATACACACATTTGTTGTTGAGCCTAATGACATCGCAATTGACATCGAGGTGGTTGACGCAAGTGGTTGTCAGCTCGCAATTTTCCATTTTCTATTTGCCATTTTCAATTGCTGTTTTCTGCGCAAACGATAAACTGTACTTTTGTGTCAATAATAAGTGATCAATAGAAAGTATAACCCCAGCCATTAATAGCATGCCTAGCTAATTTCAACCCACACCCATGTACATCAGCCCATTAACTTGGCAATTATAAGCCATTCAATTGTTGACTGATAAGCATTAGGAAATGAGAGAAATAGAAATAGAAAAAGACTCCCTGATGCCACTAGCGTCCTGGGGGACTTCTTTTGTTGGGGAAATCGTTTTCATGGCTGCTGACTCCGCTGACTGCCGCTCATTATTTCTAATTAATTTTAATGAGGCGTCTCGATTGATTGATGGTATTAAAAATATATATGCAATCGAAGTGAAAAATAACTCAGTAAGTGGGCTTTTTCTACTGCTGGACGGGTTGGCTGTGCTCCTGTACCCGCTCTCCTAATGCTCCAGGGCCAATTCCCGCTGCTTCTTGGGCAGCTTGTTGCGCAGCAAGGTCTCAAGTTGGACGCAGAACTCCGAGGTACACCTCCCGTTTGTCGTTCCTCCTGCCACCCCTAATATTTTATGTGATTAAACTAATTTTTTCGGCATTTTTTTAAAATTTTGCCCTTACAAAAAATCTAAAAAAAAAAATGTATTTTCCCAAATCCGTAAAAAAGTAATAGGGACGGTTAGCGTTGGTAATAAGATGCTTATGATAAAAATTCCTATCGAAAATATCAAACATTTGTTAAAAGTCGTTTTTCCGATTTTCCGACATAAAATAATCAGTTTTTTGGGCAAAACTTTAAAAAGAATTGTCTGAATGTGGAATGTCATACATCGTTGAGCTCGTATTTAAATTTCCAATCGAACTGTATCAAAAAATAGGAATTCAATTTTTGGCCATTTTTTGCAAATTTTGTTGATGTTACCCCTTACAAAAAAAGGCAAAAAATCACAAAAAAAATTATTTTCCCAAGTCCGTCAAAAAGTGATAGGGATGGTTAGCGTTGGTAATAAGCTGCTCAAAACTGTAATTCCTTCATCTTTTTGATCATTTTTATGGAAGTTATGATGAAAATTCCCTTCGAAAATATCGAATATTTTACAAAAGTCGTTTTTCCGATTTTCCGACATAAAATAATCAGTTTTTTGGGCAAAACTTTAAAAAGAATTGTCTGAATGTGGAATGTCATACATCGTTGAGTTCGTATTTAAATTTCCAATCGAACTGTATCAAAAAATAGGAATTCAATTTTTTGGCCATTTTTTGCAAATTTTGTTGATGTTACCCCTTACAAAAAAAGGCAAAAAATCACAAAAAAAATTATTTTCCCAAGTCCGTCAAAAAGTGATAGGGATGTTTAGCGTTGGTAATTAGCTGCTCAAAACTGTTATTCTTTCATCTTTTTGATCATTTTTATGGAAGTTATGATGAAAATTCCCTTCGAAAATATCCAATATTTCACAAAAGTCGTTTTTCCGATTTTCCGACATAAAATAATCAGTTTTTTGGGCAAAACTTTAAAAATAATTGTCTGAATGTGGAATGTCATACATCGTTGAGTTCGTATCTAAATTTCCAATCGAACTGTATCAAAAAATAGGAATTCAATTTTTTTGCCATTTTTTGCAAATTTTGTTGATGTTACCCCTTACAAAAAAAGGCAAAAAATCACAAAAAAAATTATTTTCCCAAGTCCGTCAAAAAGTGATAGGGATGGTTAGCGTTGGTAATAAGCTGCTCAAAACTGTAATTCCTTCATCTTTTTGATCATTTTTATGGAAGTTATGATGAAAATTCCCTTCGAAAATATCGAATATTTCACAAAAGTCGTTTTTCCGATTTTCCGACATAAAATAATCAGTTTTTTGGGCAAAACTTTAAAAAGAATTGTCTGAATGTGGAATGTCATACATCGTTGAGTTCGTATTTAAATTTCCAATCGAACTGTATCAAAAAATAGGAATTCAATTTTTTGGCCATTTTTTGCAAATTTTGTTGATGTTACCCCTTACAAAAAAAGGCAAAAAATCACAAAAAAAATTATTTTCCCAAGTCCGTCAAAAAGTGATAGGGATATTTAGCGTTGGTAATTAGCTGCTCAAAACTGTTATTCTTTCATCTTTTTGATCATTTTTATGGAAGTTATGATGAAAATTCCCTTCGAAAATATCGAATATTTCACAAAAGTCGTTTTTTCCGATTTTCCGACATAAAATAATCAGTTTTTTGGGCAAAACTTTAAAAATAATTGTCTGAATGTGGAATGTCATACATCGTTGAGTTCGTATTTAAATTTCCAATCGAACTGTATCAAAAAATAGGAATTCAATTTTTTGGCCATTTTTTGCAAATTTTGTTGATGTTACCCCTTACAAAAAAAGGCAAAAAATCAAAAAAAAAAATATTTTCCCAAGTCCGTCAAAAAGTGATAGGGATGTATAGCGTTGGTAATTAGCTGCTCAAAGCTGTTATTCTTTCATCTTTTTGATCATTTTTATGGAAGTTATGATGAAAATTCCCATCGAAAATATCGAATATTTGCCAAAATGAGTTTTTCCGATTTTCTGACATAAAATATTCAGTTTTTTGGCCACAACTTTAAAAATAATTGTCTGAATATGGAATGTCATACATCGTTGAGCTCGTATTTAAATTTCCAATTTCAATTTCCAAGCGGTATTCAAAAATAGGAATTAAATTTTTAGCCATTTTTTGTACATTTTGACTTGATTCTTCGTTCCCCTTTTATGAGGGCCCTGAGAAGCTGATGAACCTGACTGTTCATTTGTTATAGTTGTGTTATTGGTAGTGTCGCTAGCCTGTGTTAGCTGGCCCGCCGAAACGGGCTGAAAGTATAGATAAAAAGGTAACAAAGGGGTTTTTGGTGCACCCCGTATGCCTGAATAAATAAAAATAAAAATAAAATAAAAGAAAAAAGTTCTCCAAGGAAATTGTTCTGTTTGGATGCAGGTAAATTAAAATACGCTCATGCTAAATCTGTGTTTTCTTTAAGCAGTCTTTGTGGCAATTTAGAATACCCCAGGGTTTAAAGGCATACATTTGTGCCACATTAGCGGCATACTTTTGTTTTGTTTTTCTGGAACGGTTGTCATCCGATTTTTGAGATTCCAGTAATCGATAATACATCGCAATCGCTTGTCAATGTCAATGACTCGCACAAAAGCTATTCTTCGCGAAAAACTTACTGCGCCTGTGTACAACTCTCCTAGCTTAAATCTTCAGCTGCGTGATGACCTATCAACATTACAGGGCCACTACGTTGGGCACTACGCTCCAGGAGACATTGGATGAGATGATTCAGGTGAGCAGCAACCAGGACTCAAATATATATACTTATCGGTTGATACGTGTATTTTGCAGAGCGGTGATATAACCGAATTCCTTCATCTTTTTGATCATTTTTATGGAAGTTATGATGAAAATTCCCTTCGAAAATATCGAATATTTTACAAAAGTCGTTTTTCCGATTTTCCGACATAAAATAATCAGTTTTTTGGGCAAAACTTTAAAAAGAATTGTCTGAATGTGGAATGTCATACATCGTTGAGTTCGTATTTAAATTTCCAATCGAACTGTATCAAAAAATAGGAATTCAATTTTTTGGCCATTTTTTGCAAATTTTGTTGATGTTACCCCTTACAAAAAAAGGCAAAAAATCACAAAAAAAATTATTTTCCCAAGTCCGTCAAAAAGTGATAGGGATGTTTAGCGTTGGTAATTAGCTGCTCAAAACTGTTATTCTTTCATCTTTTTGATCATTTTTATGGAAGTTATGATGAAAATTCCCTTCGAAAATATCCAATATTTCACAAAAGTCGTTTTTCCGATTTTCCGACATAAAATAATCAGTTTTTTGGGCAAAACTTTAAAAATAATTGTCTGAATGTGGAATGTCATACATCGTTGAGTTCGTATCTAAATTTCCAATCGAACTGTATCAAAAAATAGGAATTCAATTTTTTTGCCATTTTTTGCAAATTTTGTTGATGTTACCCCTTACAAAAAAAGGCAAAAAATCACAAAAAAAATTATTTTCCCAAGTCCGTCAAAAAGTGATAGGGATGGTTAGCGTTGGTAATAAGCTGCTCAAAACTGTAATTCCTTCATCTTTTTGATCATTTTTATGGAAGTTATGATGAAAATTCCCTTCGAAAATATCGAATATTTCACAAAAGTCGTTTTTCCGATTTTCCGACATAAAATAATCAGTTTTTTGGGCAAAACTTTAAAAAGAATTGTCTGAATGTGGAATGTCATACATCGTTGAGTTCGTATTTAAATTTCCAATCGAACTGTATCAAAAAATAGGAATTCAATTTTTTGGCCATTTTTTGCAAATTTTGTTGATGTTACCCCTTACAAAAAAAGGCAAAAAATCACAAAAAAAATTATTTTCCCAAGTCCGTCAAAAAGTGATAGGGATATTTAGCGTTGGTAATTAGCTGCTCAAAACTGTTATTCTTTCATCTTTTTGATCATTTTTATGGAAGTTATGATGAAAATTCCCTTCGAAAATATCGAATATTTCACAAAAGTCGTTTTTCCGATTTTCCGACATAAAATAATCAGTTTTTTGGGCAAAACTTTAAAAATAATTGTCTGAATGTGGAATGTCATACATCGTTGAGTTCGTATTTAAATTTCCAATCGAACTGTATCAAAAAATAGGAATTCAATTTTTTGGCCATTTTTTGCAAATTTTGTTGATGTTACCCCTTACAAAAAAAGGCAAAAAATCAAAAAAAAAAATATTTTCCCAAGTCCGTCAAAAAGTGATAGGGATGTATAGCGTTGGTAATTAGCTGCTCAAAGCTGTTATTCTTTCATCTTTTTGATCATTTTTATGGAAGTTATGATGAAAATTCCCATCGAAAATATCGAATATTTGCCAAAATGAGTTTTTCCGATTTTCTGACATAAAATATTCAGTTTTTTGGCCACAACTTTAAAAATAATTGTCTGAATATGGAATGTCATACATCGTTGAGCTCGTATTTAAATTTCCAATTTCAATTTCCAAGCGGTATTCAAAAATAGGAATTAAATTTTTAGCCATTTTTTGTACATTTTGACTTGATTCTTCGTTCCCCTTTTATGAGGGCCCTGAGAAGCTGATGAACCTGACTGTTCATTTGTTATAGTTGTGTTATTGGTAGTGTCGCTAGCCTGTGTTAGCTGGCCCGCCGAAACGGGCTGAAAGTATAGATAAAAAGGTAACAAAGGGGTTTTTGGTGCACCCCGTATGCCTGAATAAATAAAAATAAAAATAAAATAAAAGAAAAAAGTTCTCCAAGGAAATTGTTCTGTTTGGATGCAGGTAAATTAAAATACGCTCATGCTAAATCTGTGTTTTCTTTAAGCAGTCTTTGTGGCAATTTAGAATACCCCAGGGTTTAAAGGCATACATTTGTGCCACATTAGCGGCATACTTTTGTTTTGTTTTTCTGGAACGGTTGTCATCCGATTTTTGAGATTCCAGTAATCGATAATACATCGCAATCGCTTGTCAATGTCAATGACTCGCACAAAAGCTATTCTTCGCGAAAAACTTACTGCGCCTGTGTACAACTCTCCTAGCTTAAATCTTCAGCTGCGTGATGACCTATCAACATTACAGGGCCACTACGTTGGGCACTACGCTCCAGGAGACATTGGATGAGATGATTCAGGTGAGCAGCAACCAGGACTCAAATATATATACTTATCGGTTGATACGTGTATTTTGCAGAGCGGTGATATAACCGAAGATATGGCCAGTGTGGTCTTGCGAAAATACGACAAGAGCGTTACAAAAGCGTTAGACGAACATGTTACGAGCAAGATCAACTTTACGGCCGGAAGACTGGAAAACTATAGATTCTGCGACAATGTGTGGACTCTGCTACTCAAGGATGTGGAGTTTCGCCAGGGTCAGGAGGTTTTGCAGGTCGATGCGGTCAAAGTTGTGGCCTGCCTCGGAAAGAGAGATTAAAGCGCACTGAAAGTTGCTAGCAACTAACGGAAGCCCTAAAGTCTTTCATTTCTTTGCTCTTCTCTGGGGATTGTGCTTGTAATTAAAAAAGTTTCCATGCCGCACCGCAGACCACCTTAATATCAGCAGCACTTAATATCCCGGCTTTTCGGATGCGGAGACTGTGGAGACGCGACCGCAAATGGCGTAACCCATGACCCAGTTAATGGAATACGAATCTAGATGAACTCTTGCCAGCATAAATTCAATGCCATGTGGCATGTGGCATTCTCGGTGTGGGCGTATAGCTTCCGCATCCTTTTCCGTGCTGATGGGTTGCAATAAAAAGGCGGTCAGGAAGCAGGAAAATATTATCCTTGCTCTCGGCCTCTGGCTCGAATGTTCAGACAGACGCGAGACCAGGACCTCCACCAAGCCGGAACTACGGTCCACGCACTCAAGGTCTTCTCCCGATTCAAGAGGGAGGCCGGAGGTTGCCTTCAAAACTGGGCAGCTGGGGCAGGTGCACTTTTACCACTGGTAATCAGGTGGCGCATGTGCTGCTGGTAGTGGGCAGAGAGCGGAGGTGCAAACATATCTGTCGATACGGACATTATCTCTCAATATAAGTTGGTCATTAGGTACTAGGTGCTGAACGGAAGTTCGTTGGGAAATCAGCAAGTAATTTATCGCATATGTAATTATAATTGTTAACAGTTCCAGGGTCTATATAAATATACATATGTACATATGCGGATCTGGTTCTTAGCAGCTGTTCTCGGTCTCTTCTTCACTACCAATTTTGCTTTAAAAGCACTATTTACTTAACAAACACTAACGCGGTTGTGAAGTGTTCTATTATTCTATTCAAAATCCCAATATTTTACAAGCCTAGACTCGAACCTTAAAATTCCCCTTTTAGTTCACAAATGTCTAAAGATTCATGGAACACATTTGTGTCACCACGGACTCATACCCGACTTCTTAGTACTAAACGTAAGCAATTTATCTACGCCATTTAGATCACAATTTATGGCTAGGTATAACAGATATTTTTTCCAATGGGTGCGGATTTGTATGGATTGAATGTATTTTACGTTTGGCTTTTGAAACTCTTTTATTTTACCAACATGGATTGCTTAACAACGCTGCTGCTGCTGCTGAACAACGAAGGTATATTTTATTTATGCTGTGTTTTAAAAGAATTGTGATAGAAACCTTTTAATAAGCAAATTTTGTTCATAAATATTTATCAATTGGCATCCCAACCAACTTTCCAAAAGTACAAAATTATCTTAGTTATTTTAAAAGGCGTAATTAAAGCAGAAATTTCCCTGTGTTTTAATTTGTGTCTGCAAAAAAATTGTCCCAAGAGGGAGGGGAAATTTTTGGGACGTACTCAAACTCAATGTGAGTGGGTTGTTGGTGCAAAAAAAAAACAAAGAAATAAAAAATAGAGTAAAACTCAGTATAATATCTAACAAAAACTCACTCAAAACAAATATTTCGCTGGCGTTGCCGGTAAGCATCCCTCGTTTCCCCTCGTTTTCCCATCCCTCGAAAGGGCAATCAAAACGCTGGAGGCGGTCTAAAAACAACTCAAGTACTTGGCAGCACTCACGACTTGGACATGGATGGATGGTCCTTTTGAGGGACCTGCGATCGAAAGTCTCCGCCGACTCTGCTGCCCTACCCCAATTTAGCTGGCCTGGTGAAAGAACGAACGGTCAGAGGACCAAAAAGCGTGTCCGACAAGGTCCCCAATTCGGTCGACTAGCCGGCATCCGGCCAAATCGAATACCGCAACTCTCGAGGAAATGAGTTGTCGGCCAGAAAGTCCCAGGAGTCGACCACAGGCCAGACTATAGACCCTAGAAACGCAGTATTACTAGGACCTAGTTCAAGTCCAAGTCGATGCCGGAAAAGCCAATTAATTTGACAGCGCCTCCATAAACGGGCCACGGAAAAGTGCATTCAAGTGGAACGCGGTGCCCGCAGAGGATTCTGCTCCAGCTGCCACCTGTCACGTATTCCACACCTCAAAAGTGGGCGGGCATTGAACCTCGAGTAGCCCATATGCCAGGACGCAAGTGTCCGGGAGTCCGGGAGTGCAGGAGTCCCGGAGTCCAGGAGTCCTGGGCATAGACGCAGTCCCACGACCACTTAGCCACCGTCGCCGAAATGACGACAAGGCTCCATCGGGAATGGGATTGCAGAGGAAGAAAATAATAGGGCTGTAGTGAAATAAGTTCTCAGTAAAATACAGCGCTATAGGTTTAATTTATGAAGTAAAAACGGTAATGACATAGACATTTGGTGCTATTCTATTATGTTATTCGTTCGGCCAAACTATTTTACAATTTTTAAAGCGACAAATTGACCAAATGTACACACATTAATTGGGGCTAATTTCTGCCCCGAATATAAATAAAGTTTATATGAAATAGTTGACATTTTCATGTGATTTGTTGATTTGGCCCCAATCAAATTAGCCACATATTTGGCAAAAGCATATTCCGACCAGAAACACTATGTAATTAAATGACTTAATGGGATGTGATGGCGACGTTTGTTCAGGGCGATGCTATGCCAGCGCAGGGCATGATTTCTCACAGTGTACTTTAGTGATAGGATGGTTCGAGAAAAGCTCCCCGAGGCTTTTGCTGGCACCGCAGGAACGTGAACTTTGTGCCGTGCCGCCTCATTTGCACTACAAAAGCAGCCAGATGACTAAATTAATGAGATTTCCTAGTTGGCAAAGTTGGCTCTGGTTCGGGGTCACCGTCCACCGTCCACCGTCCACCGTTTCGAGGTCACCCTTCGAGGCGATCTCAGCAGCTGCAAAGTGCCACGCACTTGGCTGCTTACTTTGAGCACTTTGTCGGAAAACAGCGCCCAACTGGACGCTCCTTAATGGCTTGTAAATTATTTAAACTCCGGGTTATCATTTTTGGATGGGGTTAGTTAGGTGGCCGATGACACGACTGCACACCAAGTTTCGTGGGGACGGGAAATGGGTGTTGGCCAAGCTTTCAATTGATCTTCTGCAAAATGAAAATGAATATCTCAGGACTCTTCCCACTGCTGATGCTGACGCAGATGCTGATTCACCCAGCTCCAACTAAAACTCCAACGGCTGGTAACTTATTAAGTTGACCCCATTCTTGCTGCAAGGCTCGGAAGTGGGCGGTGAGAAGGCTCCAACGGTCATCAAATACAATCTAATAAGCGAATCGCAGCCCGCGGCGCCGCAACTTTAAAGTCATTGCAGTTTATCACTTGCCAGGCGCTAAACTCCAGGACTCGGGGCAAAACTTTCGCCATGCTTTCATAAATCAGCGAGTTTGCTTTCCGTTCGCCGGTTGGAGCCCCCGAAATCAGCCCCCCGTATACGGGGGAGCCACCCCGCCCTTAGCCGCTCTCTCCAAGATGCGTTCGCTTCATTTCGACTTATCATTGCGCCAAACTTATGCACTAAAAACGCACTTCTTTGTGGGCTGCGTTGGGTAAACTAGCCCGATTTTATGGCTCTACATTTTTTACCCGTTGAACGAACATTTTTGGGGCCATGACTATCAAAATTATCGTCGTTTGCTTTCTTAACCAGCAGATAAATCACGTACTACCACGCTCCTCTCCTCCAATCCATAAAAGACTGTGACTAAAGCTCACTTTGTATAAGCAAAACAGGGAAAATGCTCAGGTGGCAGCTCCCAGAAGAATTTCACAATAGTATTGTTATTAAAAGGCACCAAAGGTTGCTGCCATCTTTGTGCGACACAGCAACAAGGATGGGAAAATAATATAAAGTAGTTGATTAAATGCGGCTCAAGAATTCGCGCACCCACATTGCTGGTGGCATGAAAGGGAAAGAGCTGTTGGTTCGGAGAAAGTTGAACAATTTATTAATTCAGCGACAAAAAATGATAATTGCAATTTGGCCATAATTTTTGCAATGCATTTTTGAGTGGGGATTCCTGTCGGGGTGGAAGGGCAATAAAAATGCCAAGCGCGTACCCCCGAACCCACCAAGATACGAGATGCGTCACAAAAGATATATAAAAACATCAAGCGGACAAAAGGCGATTGGACAAGGGCGTGCGTTTGAGGGGGGCTCAAAAGGAGGGAATTGTGGGGGGCTGGCTGGCTATAACAAACAGCCATTTCAATTATTTATTGGAATTTTTACCTACTGACAGCAAACAGAGAAAACAGAACAGAACAGAACAGAACAGAACAGAGCTGAACGGCCAAAAGCCCCGAAAAAAGGACCAAACAGGAACGGGCTCTGTCGAAGGGGAAAGGATACAACGGAGCAGTACAAACAGCATTCAGGACATACACAAACAGGCAAACACACACACACAGACGCAGACACAGACACAGATACAGACACAGATACAGACACAGATGCAGACACGAGCATACAAAATTGTTAAATATATGTAAGCAGTAATAAAGAGCAACAAGGATGCAGGACAGAGGCGGGGAAAATAGGGGAAAAGAGTCTAAAAAATATGGAGATGGAGCTACGCAGGGCAAATGGGTATTGTGGGGGTGGACAAAAAAAAGCCGAACACAGAGCGGGAACTAAAGCCAATGCACAAAATATGTATCAGAAGGTAAACTGCAATTGCAGAGCGCACCAAGCCAAAAGCGTTTCCCCCTTCCCCCATTTTTCCCACCTGTCGCTGCTCTTCATGCGTACGTGCCTGCCAAGCGCCACCCATCACCAGCCACCCAGCAAACAACCACCTCCACGTGCACCTGCACCTCCACATCCACCCACAAGCTGCCACAGTTGCTACCCACAGTTGCTGTGCCACAAGTGGCGAGTCCGAATCGCCGCACAGTGGGGCCAGGAATACGCATGTAGGGTGTCCCCTACACATGACCCATGAGCTTGGAAAAATACATGGAATGCTCCTTCAAAATAACCATTCAAGTGCTTCTTGTCATATTTTTATTTTGTCTTTCAAGCTTAAGGGCCATTAGAATTGTACTCATTGGCCGTCTGTAACAACTGCTGGCCAAACAAATGGGCATG